TTACAGAGTATTAATTCACTGAAAGAAGAGCAAAACACTGCTCTGGAGGCTTTTCTCAGAGGAAAAGATGTTTTTGCTCTTCTCCCAACTGGTTTCGGCAAGAGTTTGATCTATCAATTGGCTCCTCTTCGTTGTCGCTCTGTTAGTACATCATATGCTTCGTTGATCTGATTGGTTTATTTGGCCCGTCTATCACCAACATAGGCCAATCAGCTCACCAGGATTTTCGCCCTTTCCCAAAATTACTTCAATGGAAGGTTTCCAGATGGATATGCGGAGCAAATCCATCTGGCGGAGTCAGGTTACGGTAATTCAACATAGGATTCATTTAAATTGTTAAGCTGAAGAAATTAAGTTCTTTGGGTCCACAAATTTTAGTGAAACAGACACTACAGGCATAAAAACTTGGATCTCTAAATTTTCTGCTTTTAAATAATAATACAAGACTTACTGTCTTTGGACCATAGTCTATAGCCACATTCGATAAGTTATGGGTATGTTTTGTATAAAAAGTACACTGGCACAAACGGGCATACACCAAGTGCGTCAAGAAATTTTGAGCATGCTTAAAATTTCTCAATGTATGCCAGCGTATGCCATACGTGGGGCATCAGTTACAGGTAAGATATCTGATTTTTGACATACTTTAAGTGCAAGTTACCCATAAGTCGTGGCGTCTAGCTTATCCAAAACATATGAGTAACTTGTGCATAACTGATGCTCCAACGCATATCAGTGTATCTGACGTGTTTCAGACGACCACTGAACGTGCTTCTAACTTCCAGCTACTGTATAATGGTGTATTGGCAATGTTTTGGTATAAAGGGGGTTCCCAAGAGGAAACTGTCAGTTCTCCTCCAGACTTCAGATGTTCCACAAGAGATGGAGGATCCGGCAAGGCTGAGACAGGAATATATACTAACTGTTTACCAACATTAGCATGATCTCATCAATCTGACTGTTCTAGTTGTAGGGTGAGCGAGAAGGTGAGTGTGATGGATCCTCCCTGCGTTCATGCCTATAATCAACAAACTTCCTACTAGACATGATGCTGAATCTGCTGTGACTGCAAACATTCTTTCTTCCTTTTTTTACAGTAAAGCAAGGAATGCTCTGATCTTTATATTGGAGAAACCAAACAACCTCTCCACAGACGCATGGCCCAACACAGAAGAGCGCCCTCCTCTGGAAGAGACTCTGCAGTACACCTACACCTTGTGGACAAAGGACATTCGTTTGAGGACCAGAATGTTCACATTCTGGATAAAGAAAATAGGTGGTTTGAGAGGTGCGTGAAGGAAGCCATCTATGTTAAGAGAGAAAAAACAACTTCAAACAGAGGTGGTGGACTCAGATTCCAGCTTCCAAAAACTTACGATTCAGTTTTAGAGATGATCCCTTCCAGATATCACCACACCCCCCACCCCATCACAGAGGAACGAGGGACCTACCCACTCCAGCCGGTGAACAATACCTCCTTAACCACCGACCCTTCATAGACTGGTGTCAGATATTACAGGCTAACAATGGAACCAAACGACCCATTCATCGGTTACCATTTGCATGTTTCCAAGCAATACTAGGCCTTGTCTATATAAAATTACTCAAATTCATTGCGGATCCAGACATTTGAATTGAGAAAGCTTCCTGGAGGGGAAGCGAAACGTCTTCAAACCTTGGAAACCAAGTCCATTGTATTTTTTTTAACTTTTACGGAATGACT